ACTATAGACAGACTATAGACTAGACTATAGACTAGACTATAGACTAGACTATAGACTAGACTATAGACTAGACTATAGACTAGACTATAGACTAGACTATAGACTAGACTATAGACTAGACTATAGACTAGACTATAGACTAGACTATAGACTAGACTATAGACTAGACTATAGACTAGACTATAGACTAGACTATAGACTAGACTATAGACTAGACTATAGACTAGACTATAGACTAGACTATAGACTAGACTATAGACTAGACTATAGACTAGACTATAGACTAGACTATAGACTAGACTATAGACTAGACTATAGACTAGACTATAGACTAGACTATAGACTAGACTAGACTATAGACTAGACTATAGACTAGACTATAGACTAGACTGTAGACTAGACTATAGACTAGACTAGGCCATAGACTATACTAAAGACTATACTATAGACTATACTATAGACTAAACTATAGACTAGGCCATAGACTATACTATAGACCAGATTAAGACTAGACTGTATTTGAAATGCACAAGAACCGTCTATATTTATTAAATTTCACATTTTTCCTCTTCTTACAGTGAAAGAGGCCTGCTTGATACTCCAAACAATACCCGGCAACATTGATATGGACAATTTTGAGAGTACCTTAGTCAAGAAGTTCCCCCAAATTGTCAGCTATCATGATCTACACATATGGCAGCTATCGTCTCACAAATACATTGCCACTGTACACATTATCTTTGAAAATCCCAAATGTACGAGAAAATTCTCGATGATGTGCGTCAACATTTTCATGACCACAGCATTACCAATGTCACAATACAACCCGAGTTTCATAGTGAAAATACCACAAATTCCTCATCGGAATGTTTGGTTGCAATGTACACGTCCCGAGTGTTTGGATAAGGTTTGTTGTAAGGATTCCATAACAGATTTAAGAGAAGTGAGTGTTTGTTCGAGTAGCGATGGACATGAACATCATGATCATGAACACGAACATGAGCATGATAATGGCAAGAAATCTTGTGGTAAAAGTAAAAAACATAAGGATCAATCATGGTCATGGACATTCTCATGCGCACAAACATCATGGCCACTCTCATGGTCACAGTCACAAACATGATCACAGTCATGATAAACATAGTCACAATCACAAAGATCACAAAGTTCAAGCAAAAGAAGTCCAAGAAGTTCCTAAGAAAATGCAACTAACGGTAAAGCACAATGTGATGCTACAGCAGCAGAAACAGTTAAAGCAGACGCCACTAACAGTATTCCTGCCACTATGGAAGCAAATGACAAACATTTAGCTGAAACTTCTGCAAATAGTGAAAACCTCCACAATCTCATTAAAGGCAGAAAAGACTGAAATAGCAGAACCAAGCCCAGCACCAGACAGTCAGGAGCCAGCAGCTTCAACAGTTGTGAGACGCAATAAGGAATCCACTAAAGATCAGACCAAATGTTAATTAAACATCAACAATCACACATAATTTAGTTTTATTTTATACTTTATAATCCCATATTAAAAACATTTAAATATTAGCATACTTTTAGGCTTGTAAGAAATTGAACAAAATTTACAAAACACTATATAGTAAAAGTAGTTAATTAAATTTTTTACTAACGTAAGTTATATAATTTTAGAAATTATTTAAAATTCTTCTTCTAAACTAACGATTTTATTTTATATCTTTTAAACTTCAACAATTTTTTTTTTTTGTAAAAACAGTCTCTTTTTCTATTGAAAAACCAAAGATTTCGCCTTTTTTGTCTGTTAAAGTTTAAACCAAACAATTTTTTATAAATTTTATTTAATAAGAAAGCTATTATGCATTTTATATTTACCTATAAAGACCCTAAAATAAATACATTTACATACGTACATATATTTTTTAAGAATTTTATACATCATAAACATTAACGTTAAATTATACATTATTACTAGTATTTTAGTTTTTATTTAAAACAACCAATTCAAAAGAAATATTATTTAAAAAAGTATTTCATTTGCCATATTAACAATAAAACACAAATGTTAACTGTTAGTGAAAATTATAATTATTTGTTGCTAATTAATTGTAATTTTATAGTTTAATTTTAACAAGTATTGTTTTTATTATAGATTTTTATGTTTTAGCTTTAAGTTTAATAGTGTTGTGAACATTTTTTATAGCTTTTACATCTAAGGATTTGATGATCAATAAAACGTTTAGTCTTGAAATTAATCCACAAAGATGAAGATGGTAAACTATTAAAACTAACAAGAAGTGAATAAAACTGAACTAGAACTAAACTAGAAATAACTAGAACTGAACTAGAACATAACTAGAACTGAACTGAACTAGAACAGAAACTAAAACGAACTAGAACTGAACTAGAACAGAACTAGAACAAACTAGAACTGAACGCGAACATAACTCGAACAGAACAAGAACAGAACTAGAACATAACCAGAACATAACTAGAACAAAACTAGAACTGAAACTCGAACATAACTAGAAACAGAACTAGACTAGAAACTGAACTAGAACTGAACTAGAACTGAACATGAACTAGAACTGAACTAGAACTGAACTAGAACTGAACTAGAACTGAACTAGAACTGAACTAGAACTGAACTAGAACTGAACTAGAACTGAACTAGAACTGAACTAGAACTGAACTAGAACTGAACTAGAACAGAACTAAAACAGAACTAGAACTGAACTAGAACAGAACTAGAACAAAACTAGAACTGAACTCGAACATAACTAGAACAGAACAAGAACAGAACAAGAACAGAACAAGAACAGAACTAGAACATAACTAGAACATAACTAGAACAAAACTAGAACTGAACTCGAACATAACTAGAACAGAACTAGAACAGAACTAGAACAGAACTAGAACAGAACTAGAACAGAACTAGAACAGAACTAGAACAGAACTAGAACAGAACTAGAACAGAACAGAACTAGAACAGATCTAGAACATAACTAGAATAACTAGAACTGAACTAGAACTGAACTAGAACTGAACTACAACTTAACTACAACTGAACTACAACTGAACTAGAACTGAACTAGAACTAGAACAGAACTAAAACAGAACTGGAACTGAACTAGAACTGAACAAGAACAGAACTAGAACATAACTAGAATAACTAGAACAAAACTAGAACTGAACTAAAACTGAACTAGAACTGAACTAGAACTGAACTAGAACTGAACTAGAACTGAACTAGAACTGAACTAGAACTAAACTAGAACTTAACTAGAACTGAACCGAACTAGAACTGATCTGGAATTGAACAAGAACTGAACTAGAACTGAACTGAATTAGAACTGAACTAGAACTGAACTAGAACTGAACTAGAACTGAACTAGAACTGAACTCGAACATAACTAGAACAGAACAAGAATAGAACAAGAACAGAACTAGAACAAAACTAGAATAACTAGAACAAAACTAGAACTGAACTCGAACATAACTAGAACAGAACTAGAACAGAACTACAACAGAACTACAACAGAACTAGAACATAACTAGAAACTAGAACTAGAACAACTAGAACTAGAACAGAACTAGAACAGAACTAGAACAGAACTAGAACAGAACTAGAACTGAACTAGAACATAACTAAAACAACTAGAACAGAACTAGAACAGATCTAGAACAGAACTAGAACAGATCTAGAACAGAACTAGAACATAACAAGAACAGTACTAGAACAGAACTAGAACAGAACTAGAACTGAACTAGAACTGAACTAAAAACTGAACTAGAGCAGAACTTGATCAGAACTAGAACATATCTAGAACATAACTAGAATAACTAGAACAAAACTAGAACTGAACTCGAACATAACTAGAACAGAACTAGAACAGAACTAGAACGGAACTAGAACTGAACTAGAACAGAACTAGAACAGAACTAGAACAGAACTACAACAGAACTACAACAGAAACTAGAAACATAACTAGAACAGAACTAGAACAGAACTAGAACTGAACTAGAACTGAACTAGAACAGAACTAAAACAACTAGAACAGATCTAGAACAGAACTAGAACATAACTAGAACAGTACTAAAACAGAACTAGAACAGAACTAGAACAGAACTAGAACTAGAACAGAACTAGAACAGAACTAGAACTGAACTAGAACTGAACTAGAACTGAAACTAGAACAGAACTAGATCAGAACTAGAACAGAACTAGAACAGAACTAGAACAGAACTAGAACAGAACTAGAACAGAACTAGAAACAAACTAGAACTGAACTAGAGCAGAACTTGATCAGAACTAGAACAGATCTAGAACAGAACTAGAACAGAACTAAAACAGAACTAGAACAAAACTAGAACAGAACTAGAACAGAACTAGAACAAAACTAGAACAGAACTAGAACAGAACTAGAACAGAACTAGAACAGAACTAGAACAGAACTAGAACAGAATTAGAACAGAACTAGAACAGAACTAGAACAGAACTAGAACTGAACTAGAACTAGAACTGAACTAGAACTGAACTAGAACTGAACTAGAGCAGAACTTGATCAGAACTAGAACAGATCTAGAACATAACTAGAATAACTAGAACAGAACTAGAACAAAACTAGAACAGAACTAGAACAGAACTAGATCAGAACTAGAACAAAACTAGAACAGAACTAGAACAGAACTGAAACAGAACTAGAAGAGAACTGAACTAGAACTGAAGTAGAACAGAACTAGAATAGAACAAGAACAGAGCTAGAACAGAACCAGAACAGTTCTAGAACAAAGCTAGAATTGAACTAGAACAGAACTAGATCAAAATTAGAACACGACTAGAACAGAACTAAGGCAGAACTTGAATAGAACTAGAATTAAACCAGAACTGAACTAGAATTGAACCAGAACTGTACTAGAAATTGAACTAGAACTGAAATGGAACTGACGTGTGTTAGAATTGAATTAGAAATAAACTAAAAAGGAACATAATATTAAATATTAATAGAACAGTAATTTTTTTCAAAATAATTTTATTTTTTTTATTATTGCACAACATTTCTTTTTGTCTTAATTTAATACTTAACAGTTGAAATACTAAAATCATAGTAAAAAATTTTGTTTTAAGGAATATTCGAAAAATAGGGGAACAATTATATAAAACCGTGCATAACTAAAAAACATTAATTTTAATCTACAATTTGTTTATACAAACATGGACAGATTTTATAAGACGGTTATAAAAATATAGGAAAAAGAACGAGGAATTTAAATAAAAAACATAGGAAAGATATTAGTAGTATTGTGTGATGATAAAAACCTAAAATTTTGTTAACTGTTATTTCCTTATTATACCAAACAGATACTCCATGGTAAATAATCTAATAATACGTGCCAAATTTTCCGTCGTACTATAATCTATAATAGTTTCATTATCATCGGGCGTATGCCAAACGGTGGGAAATGGCATGGGTATTATATGAAGAATAGGTACATTACGCTGCAAAAAGGGTATATGATCATCTTCAATATACGATGAACGTAAAGCACTAGGTTGGAAGTAACGATCAGGATAGTGCCGGGCCACACCACTGCTGACATAACGCTCCATAAGACCAGCATCAGAAAGGCGAGCTTCCAAGTTGAGGAAACGTGTATACCAAGATTCGGTATTTTGAAAAAAGCTGTAAAATTTGGGATCTGGAGCACCCAGCAAATCCAGCAGCATCAGCATATCAATTTTCGGCAGAAAACCTTCCGTTTGCCATCTTTTAGCTAAATGTCTAGCACCATAAATGGAATCTTTGGGACCCCATTCCTTAAAAGCCTCCTCACCATCAAAGAACAATAACATTAAGCTGAGTTTAGAGTCGCGGAAAGGTTCTAAGTGTGAATCCAAAACCTCGGCTAGATTTAACATCATGGCGCAAGGGACAGCAGAATCAGTGGCTCCTAAGAATTCCACTTCCGGCATGTATTTACTATCATAGTGACAGGCCAGCACTAAATAACGTTCAGCATTTGGATTGAGGGTAGCTATGATGTTATGAAACTCCAAATTGCCTTTAATGGGGGCGGTATCATGAAAACTATCTAATTCTATGGACCATTGTAGATCTTTTAAACTTTTCACTATATAATCACGAACTTTCTTATGTCCCGGCGTACCCACTATGCGGGGTATGAGAATTTCTTTGGTAGCCTTTTTCAAATGGGCCACATTTGACAGTTGACTTAATTGGGCAAACTGGCTGTCCGTTAGCTCTTCTGTGGGATAGTGTTGCTGCAATAAAGAATAAACAATTTGTTTAACTTTTATTTCTTAACAAAATTCTTAAAAAAAACACCACCTGTCTTTGTCCCACTAGGAAACCTCTGTCGACCTGGTTATGTTGGCCAGTTACCGCGAACACCATTAACAGAAGCCCCCACAAATCTTTTAAATGCATTTTAAATCCCTGTAACTAATTAACTGTTGTTGTTATCTAGCTAAATTTTCTAAACTAATACTTCTATTTTTTTTAATAATAAATCACAAGTGTTTTTTGTTTTTCTTTCCTATTTCTCTTTTCACTGTGACCACGTAGTCATTAATTTGTTGTTTCACGGGGAATTTTTTTTTTCAAAAAATTTCTTCCATATTTTATTTATTTGTACAATTGTTTATAATTTATACTTATCATGTATTTTCTTTAATATTTATCAAAAATATAAAAAAAAAACCTATTTATTATAGGCGAAAAACAAAACAAAACACTTGTAAACAACAAATAACAGTTAATGACAGCTGTTGTGTTTTTGTTTTTCTTTCAGCTTTTGTCATATCAATGTTAAATAAGAGTTGTATTTGGTATAACAGTAGTGTTAAAGTTAAGTTGGAAAATAAAGTATTTCTGTTATATTTTCAACAGAATCTTAGGGAATGCTAAAACAGTGGGCTACAAGCTAAAAAGTTGCCTATCTGTTTATCTATCTACCTATGTTTTCCAATAAAAAGTCCTTTAAAAACTTATTATTAAAGAAACTTTTCCTGCCTACTGTTTTAAAACCGTCATGTTAAACTTGACCTAATTACCTTCTGTAAACTAAAACAACAATGTTAACGTAACACAAAACTAATATAACACATTTCTAACAGTGTTAAACCCCAAAAACAGGGTTGTTTAACCACACACATGTTTTTATTTCATTGAAAAATCAACAACCTCACCCCCCACCTCATTTTCTAAACGAAAAGTAAACACGAAAAAAAAAACAAAAACAACTTACCAACAAATCAACTACTTCAAAACAAGCACCCAAATTATAATTTTCTTTGAAGGCAATAAATTTTGTATAAATGCAGGACTACTATCACGCACTTGGTCCATTAAAGAGCCATAAAATTTAGAATTTTGTTTTAAATAATTTAATAAACGCATTTTATTAAAAAAAATCAATTAAAACAGTTTTAAACGAAACGATGGAAGAAATATACAGTGTATCACATAAGTATTCGAATTTGGTTGTACTTTGAAAAGAAACATAATTTAATAATATTTTTGTTTGTGAAATTAATATTTAAATTTCTTATATTGTCTAGAGAGTCCTAAGGTATAATATCACACTCTTTAAAATTTGGAAGAATTACATTTACCTAAATTGATTTAACTTTTTTTAAAAAAAGTCCATAAATTGCCTCACAAAAGTATTCGAATTTTTCCTGTATTTCATATATGACCATATTATACGAAACACAAAAATTATAATCGAGTGGTTTTTTGCTTAAAATTGTGTTAAGGGGTTACTATCGACCGAAATTATATATTTTTGGCCCATTTGTTCCACAATTTTGGAGCATTTGTACCATCTTTTCATGTAATATCATTAAAATGGCGATTTTTTACCATATTTGCAAATTTTTGTTTCCTTTTTTTCTGAAGTAAACCCAAACTTTAATATTGGGATTTAATACACCCCTTGAGGTATCTAAAAATAATAATTTTTGTTATAAGGATCTGTACTTAAAAGTTCCAAGATGTATTTTTGGTATCGTTCTTCTGTTTCTAATTGAATTGTATGGATCTTAAGTCCCTTTTCTTACCACTAGGGTCGTTATTTTCCGACAAAGTTGGCTAGTATACATTCATGTACATATTAGCACTAATATATTTTAAATTTTCAATACATTATATCTGTATACAACTCCAAAACATGCCTTAACAAAAACGTCATCCTATACAGTAGATTTGAGTTTTACTATTCGTAACTTTCACGCTTATGTTGCCCATTACAATACAATGTAAGTCCAAAATTTTGGGTTTATTTTGATCATAGTAATCAATATTTAAACAGATATCGATATTTTTGAGTTAGACCATAATGATATAGTGGCATGTAGCCTGGAGGTCATTGGTATATAAAAATAATGATACTACCATTGAATGGTGTTTCTTCGAGGCATGCTTTGGAGTTGTACACTTCCACAATACATTGAAAACTTAAAATATATAAAAGCTGATATCTACAAGAATATATACAAGAAAACTTTCCCCGAAAATTTTTTACCCTAGTATTATGAAAATGGACTTAAGTTCCAATATATTGAATTAGCGACAGAATAATGATATCAATAATATATCTTGGATCGTTTAAATACAGATTTTTGTAACAAAAAATGCTATTTTTAGATACTCCAAGGGGTCTATTAAATCCCAATATCAAACTTTGGTCTTATCTCTGGAAAAAAAGAGAAAATACTACAAATATTGCCAAAAAATCGCCATTTTAATGGTATTACATAAAAAGAGGGTACAAATCCCCAAAAATTGTGGACCAAATGGGCCAAAAATATATCATTTCGGTTGATAGTAACCCCCTAAAATAATTTAAAGCATAAAAACCAGTCGATTCTAAAATTTGTGTATCGTATAATATGCTCAAATATGAACAACAGGAAAAATTCGTATACTTTGTGAGGCAATTTTATGGACTTTTTTAAAAAAAGCTAAATTAATTTAAGTAAATGTAAATTTTTTAAGTTTTAAAAAGCGTGATATCAAACCTAAGGACTGTCTAGACAATATAACAAATTAATTTTTTTTTTTGCACACAAAATATATTATTAAATTTAGTTTCTTTTCATAGTTTACCTAAATTCGAATACTTATGAGAGACACTGTAAATGTTCTATACAATTATGCAAGTCTGTAAAATGTTGTAAACATTTCCAGAGCGTAATTTACAGTAACATATTCTTTCCTACTGTTATCTTTACATTTTGTAAACTCACACTCTATCACTTTTAAAATTACTTTTCTAAACACAAAAATTGTCTTTCTTTTTTATTTACATTCTTTTGGGGGGGAACATGAAAAAGTATTTTACTACAAATAAAGTAAACGAAAAAATAAATGGAATTGATTAATTCAGGAAAATGCTTACTTTGTGTGGTAAAAAAAATCACTTAAATTATTTAAAAAAACACGTCATATTTTTAGCTTAATCAGCCTTTGCCTCTGTGTTGAACCACCAAAGTAGGCCCGGTAAATATACAAAGCCAAAGCAAAATGTAAAGCCAACACCGCTCCCACAGCTGAGTAAATGTTGCTTTTCGTTTCAGTCAAAATAAAAAATCTATCCAGCACTAAGGTGTTCAAGAAAAAGAAGGTAACCACTGGTAGAAATACAATTAAAGAACAATAAAATAAAACTGTTTTAAAAGAACTGTAATCTTTGACATCCTAAAAACAGAAAAAAGAGATAAAACAAATTGGTCAGTTTCGATTTTGTTTATTTCTATTATAAATAATACTTACATCAGATTTTTGTTTATTTAATTTAGCTTGTTTGCTTGCCTCCGAGTTATTGCCTTTATTTTTATTAGCCATTTTGTTCTTTTTGCTTTTAATTGAAGAAAACTTAATAATGTTAATGCATATAAATAAAAAGTTAGTGGCTTTCTATTTTTTCGTTGAAAATTGTTGTGCAGTTGTCAAAAATGACAATCCGGTAGAAAATGTCACATGACAAACGGAGAACTGCGCCGACAAATATTAAAGACGTTGGTGTTGTACAAAGAAATTTTCAACGGCGGCATAAAATAGTTTGAAAGCCGGCTGATATATAGATAGATAGATAGATAGATAGATAGATAGATAGATAGATAGATAGATAGATAGATAGATAGATAGATCGATCGATCGATAGTAGATAGATCATCGATAGATAATAGATATAGATCGATAGATAGATAGTAGATAGATAGATAGATACGCTATATCGCTAGATCGCTCGATCGCTCCTCTCGCTAGATGCTCGATGCTAGATCGATCGATAATAGCTAGCTCGCTCGATCTCGCTATATCGCTCGCTCGCTCGCTCGCTCGCTCGCTAGCTCGCTCGCTCGCTCGCTCGCTCTCTGCTCGCTCGCTCGCTGCTCTCTCGCCTCGCTCGCTCTCTCGCTCGCTCGCTCGCTCTCTCGCTCGCTCGCTCGCTTCGCTCGCTCGCTCGCTCGCTCGCTCGCTCGCTAGCTCGCTCGCTCGCTCCGCTCGCTCGCTCGCTCGCTCGCTCGCTCGCTCGCTCCTCGCTCGCTCGCTCGCTGCTCGCTCGCTCGCTCGCTCTCGCTGGCTCTCTCGCTCGCTCGCTCGCTCGCTCGCTCTCGCTCGCTCGCTCGCTCGCTCGCTCGCTCGCTCGCTCGCTCGCTCGCTCGCTCGCTCGCTCCTCGCTCGCTCGCTCGCTCGCTCGCTCGCTCGCTCGCTCCTCGCTCCCTCGCTCGCTCGCTCGCTCTCTCGCTCTTTCCTCCTTCCCTTTTCCTCTTCTTCGGTTCCTTTGTTTTTCTCTGGCGCTTTTGTTCCCCTTTACCTGGGCATTCCTTACCTGACCATCGTTTGCCGCTGGCAGCACTGTATTCCGTTATTAACATTTCGAATAGGATTTACAATCGTTTAGTTCACTTTAGTGACTCGATTCGTGTGGAACGTTTAAATACAACAGCGGAAAACTAGCAACTTGAGTTTGAATTTTTTTCTCACAGACTCTGTATTGAATAAAAAAAGAATAAATGAAAAATACAAAGTGCAAAAAGTGTTTATTAAAACAAAACAGACAACAATTATAAGAAAAACAAATTGGGAGAAAAAACTTCAATATCTAAATCAAAGGCGAAGAAATAAACAAATTAAAAAGTAAATACAACAAATTAAAGTTACTACAACAGTTTATACCTATTTAATAACACTTTCTACGCCATTAATAGACCTTTGTGAAATTTTCTTTGTTTCAATTACATTTTTTTTCTATTAAAATGTCTGCTAAAGAGGAGTTTATGGGGCCAATAGTTAAAAATAGATCTTTTTGGGAAATTTCTTTAAACATATTTTAATTTATTTATTGGAATTTATCAATTATACACATTTTCCTTTCTATTTTTGTGTTTTTTGTTTAGTCTAATTGGAAAAAACATACATTTTTATACACAAAAGTACTCACATACACTCATACATATAATTTTGTAATTAAAACAAGTACTAAGCAAAAAAAGCAAAAAAAAAAATAAACGAAAATATAACAACAAATAATGCAGTTCATAATAACACCAAAAAGAAAATACAAACAAAAACAAATACAACTATGTAGATGAAAGCAAAATAATAAACGTCGTAATTTGCAGAAATCAGCTGTCTATCCACAATACCAAAACTGAAAAGAAAAACAAAAACACAACAATACAATATAAACAAACACTAAATAATAATAAAAAGGGTTACCAGTTTATTTTAGTTAAACTAATGGCAAGGGCAAATGCAGGGAATTTGATATTTTACAGAAATTAGAATTTTCTATGAATAGAGGTCTTTTTAACTGGACTGAGGTTAGAACTGAAGTAGATCTGAACTAGAACTGAACTAGAACTGAACTAAACGAACTAGAACTGAACTAGAACTGAACTAAACGGAACTGACTGAACTAGAACTGAACTAGAAACTGACTAGAACTGAACTAGAACTGAACTAGAACTGGAACTAGAACTGAAACTAGAACTGAACTAAGACTGAACAGAACTGAACTAGAACTGAACTAGAACTGACTAAGAAACGACACTAGAACTGAACTTGAACTGAACTGAAACTAAACTGAACAGAACTGAACTAGAACTGAACTAGAACTGAACTAGAACTGAACTAGAACTGAACAGAACTAGAACTGAACTAGAACTGAACTAGAACTGAACTAGAACTGAACTAGACTGACTAGAACTGAACTAGAACTGAACTAGAACTGAACTAGAACGGAACTAGAACTGAACTAGAACTGAACTAGAACTGAACTAGAACTGAACTAGACTGAACTAGAACTGACTAGAACTGAACTAGAACTGAACTAGAACTGAACTAGAACTGAACTAGAACTGAACTAGAACTGAACTAGAACTGAACTAGAACTGAACTAGAACTGGAACTAGAACTGAACTAGAACTGAACTAGAACTGAACTAGACTGAACTAGAACTGAACTAGAACTGAACTAGAACTGAACTAGAAACTGAACTAGAACTGAACTAGAACTGAACTAGAACTGACTAGAACTGACTAGAACTAGACTGAACTAGAACTGAACTAGAACTGAACTAGAACTGAACTAGAACTGAACTAGAACTGAACTAGAACTAGAACTAACTGAACTAGAAACTGAACTAGAACTGAACTAGAACTGCATAGACTGAACTAGAACTGACTAGGAACTGAACTAGAACTGACTAGAAACTGAACTAGAACTGAACTAGAACTGAACTAAACTGAACTAGAACTGAACTAGAACTGAACTAGAACTGAACTAGAACTGAACTAGAACTGACTAGAACTGAACTAGAACTGAACTAGAACTGAAATAGAACTGAACTAGAACTGAACTAGAACTGAACTAGAACTTAACTAGAACTGAACTAGAACTGAACTAGAACTGAACTAGAACTGAATTTAAACTCTGTTTACTTCAGAAAAGTTTTGTGTTAAACTATTGTTGAAAACATTTTATATTTAATTCAATTAATCACTTTTTGGTAGATTTATTAATCCTTAAGTAAACATCAAAGAAAACATCATCTAATTATTTTGCTCCAATTATTATTTATAACATCAAAAATTTCTCTATTTCTATGGCTAATTTTAAAATTTAATCTTTTTTTACATTTCTCTATTTGCAGCTACCAAATAATAGAAAGAAAATAAAGTATATTTTTTAAGTAAAACTTGAGTGCTTAACCGTCCTATAGTTTTAAATACGTTTTTTAATTTTCAAATAAATATTGTATTTTGCCATCATATCAAAGAAACACTGCTAAAATTAGTTTAAATAGAAGAAAACAAGTGATACGTGTTAAAACTACCATTTTTGTTTTAAAATTTTAAATAATACTAGTAAATAAATTATTAAATAGTAGTTAAAAAAAAAGAAAACAAAAAAAAAAACCAACATGCCGTTCATTTCGAAAGATTGGCGCTCACCCGGTGAAGCTTGGGTTAAAACTGAAGAAGGTTGGGAAAGATTGAAAGTTTTAGAATGCGGTAAACGTAAACGGTAAGTGAATATTTACGTATCATGGACTTAAAGTAAATACATCAAAAAATACTTAAATATTGCATAACATTTGAAAATATTGCATTATTTTTAATAAATAAATAAAAAACTCTGATTGAATGGCATGCAACGCTAATGCAAACGCAATCCCCTTTTAAAAATATTTAAAATGCAAGTTTGTACAACAGACATTTGAAAAAAGAAAAAAAAAAATATTTATGCATTTGTCATCTAAAAAATAATGCTGTAACACTCATGTCTCTGATCCCCATACAAACATGAACACGTACAGAAAAAAATTTTGATTGAATTCAATTAAATTTGAAATGGAAGTAAAATTTTTTATACGGAACACAAAAGCTAAAAAAAATTGCAAAAAATAAAACATAAATAAAAACCAGAAATACTATTTAAAAAAACTATGTATATATGTTGATTTGACTTAAAAGTTGCATGAAATATTCCTTTTCTGCACCCACCACTCACTCACCACACAAAAAAAAATGTCATGGAAACTATATAATAACCTGATTACATGCCACAAATTTGAAACCAAAAACTTATAAAACAGCCGTAACACAAAGAAATACAGAATAATAGAAAATCAAGGAAGTAGAATATATAGGAGGGGAGGTAAAATAGTTTAATATTGAATAATTCCATTTGAGATTCACTTTCTATTAAATGATGGTTATTCTAAAGGTCAAGTTTATTTGAGTGGACAGTGGAGTAGGAGAAGCTAAATGGAAGTATAAAACATTCTTTAAGGTAAATATGGACTATAGACAGGACTGTAGTCCAAACTATAGACTAGACATTGGTACTAGACTATAGTTTAGGTTATAGTCAAGACTGTCGACTTGACTACTGCCCAGACTATTGACTAGACTCTTGTGAAGATCGGGACTATAGTCCAAACAATAGACTACACCATAGACCGGACTATAGTCCAAATTATAGACTAGTACATACTAGATTATTGAGTAAACTATAGACTAGACGTTAGTGTCTAGTTTAAAGTCTAGTCTATAGTCTAGTCTATAGTCTAGTCTATAGTCTAGTCTATAGTCTAGTCTATAGTCTAGTCTATAGTCTAGTCTATAGTCTAATCTATAGTCTAATCTATAGCTAATCTATAGTCTAATCTATAGTCTAGTCTAGTCTATAGTCTAGTCTATAGTCTAGTCTATAGTCTAGTCTATAGTCTAGTCTATAGTCTAGTCTAGTCTATAGTCCTAGTCTATAGTCTAGTCTATAGTCTAGTCTATAGTCTAGTCTATAGTCTAGTCTATAGTCTAGTCTATAGTCTAGTCTATAGTCTAGTCTATAGTCTAGTCTATAGTCTAGTCTATAGTCTAGTCTATAGTCTAGTCTATAGTCTAGTCTATAGTCTAGTCTATAGTCTAGTCTATAGTCTAGTCTATAGTCTAGTCTATAGTCTAGTCTATAGTCTAGTCTATAG